ATTCAATAGGGTTGAGTCGGCAGTGTGCCTTCTCCAGTTTCTTTCTTTCTTTATAATCATGAACACACGTTTACGTTCGCATCCCCCCTCGCACCCTTCATCCCCTACCCCATCGTCTTATTCACTACCATAGATTTCATATATCCGTACGTCCCTCACGTCTTTTCAAATTTACATTTAATTGCACAATTTTATGTCAGTGAATGAATTGAAGTTATGAATGTTTAATTTGTTTTCGTCAAATATGAATTTATTGTTGCTGAAATAATGCTGAAACATGAAAGTTTTATTTTAATTTTGATTTCGGTTCAGCGAAATTAATGTCGAATTGGTGCGTACAGTTGAATATTATATCTAAAATGAACACACAATTCAGATAACAGTGCGGTTTCTTTAATCGGTGGGGGTGTGCGTTGTTCAGATGGGTGAGCTGCAGTCTGCACTGCTATTGAAAAAACAACTTGCAGGTTGATTTCTTCGTTTATATTGATCACCAATGATATTGCTCAGCACTCGGTTTCGACCAAAACTGTGACTTTGCTCGAAATCGAGTGGTGTACCAATGTCATTGATTTCAGTGAGCCTATGGTTTGGCTTGTGTCTCATTACATTGAAAAGTTATTAGCTCGTTTTGCTGCGTTCATTTATAGTTTATTATGTAATTTTCACAGAGCTAAGACGAGTGCCAGTAGACGGGTTTTCGGCAGGCCTTCAGGACGATGACATCTATAAATGGGAGGTTCTTGTGATCGGACCACCTGACACTCTTTAGTAAGCACGTTCTTCAACGGACTAATTCATTTTATTGATCACTTTTTAACTATATTCATTTATTGCATCACATTTTGTTAATCAGTTGGGTGCTTAAGAGATACAATAATCAATTTTCAGCGAGGGTGGCTTTTTCAAGGCGGAATTGGATTTTCCGAAAGAATATCCTCAACATCCACCCAAAATGAGGTTCACCTCCGAGATTTGGCATCCGAACAGTCAGTTTCGTTTATTTGTTCAGTTCATTTTCTTTTACTTGCAAGTTCTTATAAGGGAAGTTCTTGTAATCGATTGTTTGATATAATCCGATTGCAGGAATTAATTTAACGATTCAATTTCAGTAGATAAAGATGGAAACGTGTGTATATCGATTCTACACGAGCCGGGAGATGACCGTTGGGGTTATGAGAAGCCGGAGGAGAGGTGGTTACCAGTTCACACGGTTGAGACTATCCTTTTATCAGTCATCTCGATGCTTGCTGATCCCAACCATGACTCTCCTGCTAATGTCGATGCTGCGGTTCATTTTTATTCTCATCAATTTATTTCATTCATCTACTCGTTACCAATATCATTTATTGTAATCGGAGTGGAATATGTATTCTCTTTTTGCAGAAAATGCAACGTGAAAATTTTGCGGAATTCAAGAAGAGAGTAGCGGCATGTGTTCGAAAAAGTCAAGAGGAATGTTAGAATTGACGGATGGACGGATGAAGAAGGGAAGAATAAATTTCGAAAAGTTATAAGGTAATGATAATAATTGTAAATGCCCACTATAAATATATCTTTTCAATCGAATTTACTCTATCGATCATGCATTAAATCCATCAGCTTTTTTTAAAATATCAACATTGTTTCTATTTTCTCGATCGTATGTTATGAATTAATTGAACTAAGCATGTTTGTTTACATGTTTTCTTGTTTGTTTCACTTTGATTCAGTTCATTTACTCGTCCATCGTTTTATGTTCTATCGAAAGATTTGTTTTAATTGGTTGATGATGTTCCTCTATTGATCATTAAATGTCATTTTGCATGTTGAATAAATAAATGACAATTCGTTCTTTATCTTCATTCTCATCGTATAATATTGCGCCCTTTTAACTTTTTTGACCTGCAAACATTCTAGGCTAAAATATAACAATTTGATTTCAGCTACAAAATATAAAACAGCATACGCATGTTTACTGCGAAATTATTACTGTTGCATTTAATGAAGACGTTATTGCTTTATGAAGCAGACAGGACATTGAGCAAAAAGTTCGGTGCAGTGACGATCCTAACTTTATTCATTACATATTTTAAACAGATTCACAGATAACAACTTACTGCAAGAGAATAATACGGTTCTTCGGAATGTATTCTTGACAGGTAACATTATTTCATAGCATATCATGATACGTTAACAAAACCATTGCAGTCAATAAGAAGTAATGATGACTGAAAACGAATGACATTGGGGTAATGATTCTGAGAATTCGACGGTGAGTGGTTTTTACGTTATTGGTGTATGTGATATTGAATGAGTGACGGTGGTAAGTGCTGCGTATTGATCGCGAGAAGAGCGTCAATTAATTGGTTGATGTGTTCGGATCGATGCACTGATCGTGCATGAAACGTTTTGCAGTGATATTCCAACCAAAATTTATACGTCTCCACTAGAGGACTTGCAAATGACAGCAATTTGTTATGCTCACCTGAAATCTTATTAGTGCCATTGCTTAACATGGAAGAGTAGCCGTATACCGGTCACTAAATCAATTAGAATTTGGATGATTCCCTTTGTTGGATTTGTGGAAAGAAGGATGTCAGCGAAGGAACAATGTGCTTTAAGTGATAACAAAGGGGCATGAATTCGATTAAATAACCAAATAAATAAGAGACTCGAACAAACCGATTTTACAAAGAGCAATGCAAATCGCCAATCTAATTTCATCGTAATCCAAAAATCTATCCTCCTCATCAGATTCATTCGCAGCCCATTCCATCAGACGACCAATCTGAAAATTAGAATCATTATCGAGTCTACATTTGAGAATCGATTATAGTCACAAAAAGATAGACATTTGGCTAACATTTGGATGTGTCGAAGAAGAGGTGATATACCGAGATGAGCACAGATTAAGGATGAACAAAATATGCCAATACTCATTCAATATCTGCACTTTTTGTGATTCACGCATCGATATCATCACACTGTTGCTCATAACGCATTCGTATAGAGGTATATTCTCTTCAAATAACAACACTAATCACAAACCCTTTAAAAATTCAAAAATTACAAAATAATTCGCATCACCTACGTTCCTCAATCCTCCCTCCTGAAATTTTCCCTTTCAAACCGATCACTCCTTTTTTATCATGCCTCGGTCCACGTTCTTTTTGAACTGCTGAAAGGAATNAACAACATTCAAATGATTATTTTCGAACGAAAATGATAAAACGTTTCAAAGCAGAAAGTAACCATTTTTATTCATTTGCATTTGATAACATTTTCGGAGTCGACATGCTGGACACCAATTACGGCGCGTTTTATCAACGGGACATTTATTATTACCTGCTGAAATACATCCCTTTGGTTACTATTGTCACCATATAATTGATAAATGAATCATGCCTAAAATATATCGATGTGATCATGCAACACGAACAAAAACTTTCGAGATATGCAGAGGATTTAATCATGCAGACGGTGGGGAATGAAACTGAGGAGGACGAGAAAATGAGACGTACAAGTGACAATGAGCACAACGATGAATTGTTATAAGTGGACTTACATGTGCACGAGTAAATTATATTGCGACGAACACTGCATCATTTATTACTTATTTAACTCGAACATTTGTAAATACTTTGCACCATTCGAAATTTTAGCATTATCATAAATTAAGCTCAAATAACAGTTCCGAACAGGGGCGGAGGGGGGGGGGGGGGGGGGGGGGGAACGGATGGATGATACACAAATGAAGAAAAAGGATTTGGTGTATCCCATCGCAAGTAAGTAACTGGAGACGGTATGTTAAAGAGTGAGAGCTGGGTGAAGGTGTGATTGGCTTTAATGTGGAGTGAGAGGAATGAGAAAACAGGTTCGTTTTATTAAATTCGGATAAAGCATGTCTTCAGCTTTCAGAACATCGCACATATTCCTCATATAATCGCACATTCAACAGATATCCATCCGTTTGTTCATAATACTCAATTTGGATGTGATACATTTCAGCTGAATAAGTTTGTGGAGCACCTTACGATACTGTATGGTATTCGAATAGAGCACAACCTCATCCTCAACATTAGCACTTGTCTTGGACATTCGAATATTCACTTATTTGTGAGATAAACTGAACCCGTTATTATTTGGCAATATCATTCGAACTATGGAAGTAGGATAATATGTTAGATGTTGACAGTTTTCATTTAACGATTTATGGAGAATAAGAATAACGTGGAAAAGGGATGATGATACTTTGGAAAGGAATGAAAGGAGCTGGATAGCGGTTATCAAATGAAACAAACCTTCTCTTAAAGAAACAACTGCATCCATCACATGTCCACAGACCGTAATGCCTTCCGTAACTTTTATCACCACAAATTTGACATGGCACTGAGGATGGCATTGCACGTCCTATTTAAAGGTTATATTTTATGTTAAATGCTGTCAAGTAAACAATAAAATCATTGCCTAAAGTTGATCTAAACGATCCAATATTAAAAGTATTGCTTTCAGATAACTGTAAGCAATGGCGTCATACATCAAAATGTCATTCGCTAATTAATTGCTCGAAATGTTTATATTATCAAACCATCCAAGTCATTTTTCGTATTTCAGAGACCTTTCGGGGATCCCGTCCCCGATTTCCCGTCCCCACCCCCGACTTTTTTTAGGCCGACTGCATTTTCGGGGTTAGCAACTTCTTTCCATCCCCGCATCACACTAGTTTAAACCAATGAGGTTACATGAACCGTCAGCATTACTAATTCTTCGAAAACTGACTTATTGAGAGTAAAAAATAACTCGAATAAGATTACCCATATGAGTAAGTTTGAGTTGATTGAGCGCTAGGTGAGTGAATGAAATAGATATTATATAAATCTACTTAAATATCCTTTCTGAAACAATGAAAAATAATAAGAATGATACTATTTTATCAGAACGACATCACAAAATCAACATCAGTATCACTATAACACTCAATGTTTGTATCTGATTAAGTCGTCCGATAATGAGATAAAAGCAAACGTTACAAATCATGATTTATTTAAACACTTCACCTCAGTATACAACCCAAATTGGATACTCATAAAACAACACACTATTCATCTCGACACCCAACCAAAATCCTACGCAAATTACTAGTTTCTCCAGTGATAAAGCCCTACCGTAATCCTTATCAACATCACGTAATTCACTTAATACCAAGTTAACAAGAGTTAAAATGAAACGACTTTCCCGATCCACTCCAATAACAATAAGGACCATTCCCATGCAACACAATGAATATTCCCATCATTTTCTCATATCACTCTCACACCTCTTTTATTCTGCTCTGATTTCATTTGATTCTTATTTCTATTACTTTATTCAACCATTTACTTTATCGTACCCATGGTGACTGACTGACTAATTCATATTTCACAATAATTATACATTTATTAATATTGATACAGCAATGTTTATTTATGTACATTCAAATCTTGATCGAGTATTCGTTTGAATGTCTCTGCTAATGGCGCAGGTATATCAACCCTTTTGTCTTTACTCTGAACTGCACTCACCATTCTGAAATAATCACACAATACTTTCGCAAAGCGATCAGCAATAATAACATTAACCAACTAACTTAGGTATGTCATCATTAATGAATTGATCAAGACGTTGCATCATCTCTTCATCAACTTTATTCCAAGCCTTTGCATATGATAATTTCGCTTTTTCAATGAACGGCTTAATAAGATCAAATCATTCACAATTCAACAAATACGTTCATTCCACCTTATAACAATAATGGCAAAATAACAATAAATGCCAACTAACAGGGATGTCAGGTAAATCGCTATCCGCTAATCGTAATCTGTATTTGAAATCAGCGTAAATCTTCTCGAGATTATCACTTGTCACCACTCGTTTGATCTCCTTATCAGAGCGTATCCACATCTTATCATCAGCTTATCATCAACTAATCTTTTGTCAATGCAAATTGCAAGTCGAACTCAATAAGATCTAATAAGCAATCGAATCCCTTGCCTCATTAAACAATGAAAATGCAACCTTCTTCACGAGCTGCTCCATTATGAGTGCATGAATTTTGAGGCGTTTCGCCCTCTTGATCACATCGTTCAGTTTCCTGACCCCGCACTGTTGTGGTAACAACTTCAACTCGTCAAAGAACTCATCATATTCTTGTGCAAACAGCTCTGCCACTTCACTCCTCTGATGTTACATATTTATGAAACCAGTAGCAGTGACATATACCTCATCTCTTCTCATATCAAAATCAACGAACCTTCTTCTTCTGACCGTCTCCGTCCCAGAATGACCCAATAAATACCTTTGGTACCTCAGGTGACTCAAGAATACGGCTCAAGCTCCACATCAGTGCGCCTCGAACTCTGATCAGTTCTGCAGCACCAACTTGATCAGCTTTATTCAAAACAATCTTGATCTAAATCAATCGATGAATCAAGATCAATAAAACGAATCAAAAAAGCACATCAATGAGTAAATGAAAGCGAACCTTCTCCTCATTGCCCTTTAAGCACTGTATCACCTGCTTATACTCGTCACTGATGTCCAACTTAGACGTATCAAACAATAAGATGATCATATCCACCTTACCAGCGATGTAATTCACCACCGAAGCGAAGTCATAACCCCGCGATGTTCTCTGCTTCTGTCCCGACAGTATGCCCGGTGTGTCCATAAAAGTCATGTATTCGAGCACGGCTGCCGGCAGAGTCGCACCTCGCATACGCGTTAAAAACGCCGATCCGAACATGTTCAACGACTCAATTACAATTGTTGTTTCATTTCATTTATCAGTTCAACACATCAAATAAAATATTAACTTGAAAAGGTAACGTGCTGTCAGCAGCCAGCGAAGTGCCCATAACATTGGATGGATTCTGTGAGTAGAATATAACCGTAAAGCAGTCCGTTGTTGGTTCTGGACCGATCATCGAGCCCGGATACTCGTTATTACCCAACAGATACTTTATCATTGTCGTCTTGCCCACAGAATACTAAATTATTCATTCTAATTCCTATACAAAACATGCACAAAATAATAATTATCAAACTCAGATGAATGCGCCTCGTAACCTGTCCCAGAAACAACACCATCGGTTTTGCCTCGAATTCAGCTTTGTAGAGTGACGGCGTGTAGAATTGCTCATAAATGTGACGTTTCTCCATTGGTAACATCTCAATAGTATTATCATGAAACTAGATTTAGTAGACATCAAAACCATTATTAAAACAAGTCCGCTTATCAGTAAAATGATGCAGAAACGATATCAGCATTATCAACTGATTCAGTATCGATCGCATCAGCATCTCAATCTAACCACGAATCAGTTCAATGAAATTAAAAATCAGCTGATCCAAACCTTCTGTTCATACAGCAGATACAAAACTTCCGGTAAATTTTCTCGAGTTGCAGTTGGTACTGGTGGCTGAAGTTAATAGCGCTATTATCATTTAGGGTTAATAATTTTGTAGGTTCATCAACTTTCGCTAACGCGACCTGATGTCAGTCTCAAGACTATTCCCGACGATCACCCCGTAGAATTATTGGATGTGCTCAGTGATCAGAATGAAGATGATCTCTTAACGCTGACCGGTGGGGCAACTTGCTTGGTGAACAAACCCATTTGCTGAATAATCACAGAACGCTAAAAAAAAACTGAACGAAATGGCTATTGTATTGATTATGTTCCTATTTATAAGCTTATAATATGTTAATTTTATTCGATATAAATCTCAACATGTAAATAACCGTTTATTCGTAATTTCTTTACAGACGAAGTTCGATTCGAAGCGTAGTTACTATTGAATTACATAGCAGTGATTGGATTTGATTATATTACAAATTGTTTATGTGATCAGTGTTTACAAATAACTGTTTTTGTGAATGATAAATAAACGAATTCGATTGAACGCATCCATTTCCATAGCGATGTAATTCAATCAGTGTTGATAGTTGGTCATCCATATAGCACTGAGTAATAGCAGTGATAATTGATCATATGATACAATATATCAACAATACGAATTTGTCTGATGATAAATTTTGTGACGATGGTTTATTGTAAAAGCGCACAGTTTGGTGGGATGTTGCCCGCTTGTGTGATACGTTATACTGTAATAATTCATGCTTAATTTCTGTGATACATTTTTGTTGATTATGATCAAGTATGTATGCATCGGCAATATTATTAAATGCTGCTGCTGCTTTGTGGTGTTGTAAAGCGATTAATAATATGAAGATATAAACGTCTGATTATGCTTCCATTCATACCATTTTCTGTTTCACATATCACTTGCTTCAGGTTACATTCTTATGACTGTTCACTTACATATAAATAATGAAAAGTAAACAAACCATAACGTAAGTCTTTCATTAGGTTCAGCTATCGGTTTTAATAATGTTCCGAGCTGCCCTCTGAAAGATTGACGCTATTTTGTTTGAACAGCACTCTCGAACGGTCATATTGCTGCTATTACTCTCCTTATCAACTATCACTACCTTAAATCAAAAGATGTTCCTATACCACCGATGTTGTCCCAAGAATATTTGATAACTTCAAACAGCATATATTCTACCTCATCAAAACTGCCTTTACAAGTATGATGTCAAAATGCATTCTGATCTGATTTATTAATTTTGATTGATAATGATTCATTTCAACGAAGATGAGTGTGGGTAACATCCACATAATAATAACTATTGCATTAATGTGCGATATGATCTGGCGTTCGGAAATAAAGCATTGAGGGCGATGCAAAATGAATCTTATTTCTTTGAGTGGGTCTTTTTATTAGTTGAAAGGGATTGCAGAGGTTAGAGGTAAGGATGTGGAGGTGGACAGACGATAAGATTAGTGTAATGGGATAATGATCTTACAGCTGAGAATTGTTGGAGATAGATAGATAGATAGATAGATCAGAGTCGAGTATTCGTCTAAATATACAGCTTACAAACGAACAATAATCCATCAAGCCAAGTGCTCAATACTCATTCTGTTCGATTCAACGTTCATTTCTGCTTATTATCACTCAGTAACAGTACCAATAATCATATCACCGATCAAAATCAAATGATTTTGAGTCGTTCGGCGTCATGGTGTGTAACAAGGTTACCAGTCCTTCGATGGCTTCAACTGGTTAGTTTACGTTTTACATTTATCGAAGACAGTTCTTCACTTTATTCACCAACAAACTGAAATAAGAAGAAATACATCGTTCAGATCTCACTTCTTGTCGTGATATTGTTCATTCATGATGCGCGTATTCAATGGAAATTCTATACAATCGCGCTATTTATTGCATACATCCTCTTCATATTAACTGTACTCATGCTGATTGCTTTATTCGTCGATCTACCTTCCTTGAATAACTCTCTGCCTTGGATTCATCTGGTCAGTTCAATCGCAAGCATTTCAATATTTTACCTGATTATTCACAATTGCTCTTTTTTATATAATAGTGCTAATAAATAAGCAGTAGCAGTCATTTCAAATTTCAGATGATGACTTTTGATTTTATCGCATGTATTTTATGCTTAATAATGACTGCAATATTCGCATATGATTATATTCTAATGCTATCTGGCAGATTTGGTCATCACAAGGTTATGCCACCAGTTACTATTGGACGCAGTGGGTGGAGGAATAGAACTGCTGTTTGCACGGTGAGTTTGCAGCGTTGCAGTAATTAATGGTGTGTGTTATGAGTAGGGTGCTTACTCTGTGATTTTCTTTGATGTAGTCAAATAAGAATTTCAGATATTTTTCGCATTCGATACAGTGTTTTATTTGCTGTCGTTGCTGTTCACGCATCGGAATGGTATCGAGTGAGTGGAACGCAATAACAGTTGTTTCATACATCAGCAGAATATTATGATTGCTTCACCGTTATGTTATTCGTAAACTCGTTGATAAAGCTTTAACAGTAATTGTCATAATGATGGATTGGCGGTTACTGAACTCATTAGTAATGCCGCATTATTCTCGATTACTGACATCTTTTTAACGGTGTAATCTTTAGAAATTGAGTTGTTAAGCATTACTCTTAAGCAATACATACATTTTTCTGACAGCAACGAATCTGGTGATGTGGATGAACTATTGCGGATCTAAAGATACTGATGCGAAAAGGCGAACATTCACATAGCATAAAAAGGTACTGATAATTTTCTCGTGAGCTCAGTGGTATTATGAAATCTCGTGGTTGTATGAGATGCGTTTAGAAATTCAACTAAAAAATCTGGAAGCAAACATTTTTCGTCGAAAAAATTTATGTTTTTCTGACATCTAAGAATGTGCTTTATTCGGGGTCTGAAGAAACACTTGTGGTGCTGAGCAAACCTCAGGATAGAGATAACTTGAAAGAGGTATTCTTGATGTCATCATAATAATGCATCACTGATCAGCATCCAGATTAAATTCAAAGAGATTGACGGTAAAAGATTCATTGAAGTCGCTCAGCCAACTGAGATACATTTAGAAATTCGGGTATTCGGGTATTTGTGCGACCAAGCATTATTCCTCAACAACATATATACATTTTTCGCTATCAGAGAATCGATGAGGACGGTCTGAGAATGAGGACGGTCTCTGATG